TTTGAAATTTATTATATCTGTTTTCTCAGAATAAAACTAGCATATTATTTTAAATTTTCATTTATTTCTAGTTTCTAATCGTAACAGCCTCAAGGTTTTATGGATCATTTTAGAACTATATATAAAATTTCAATAGTTGATACTTTACTATATTGAAAATTTATTTCACTAGAAGTGTGTTACTTCATGAATATTTTAGTAATTTATATATACATTTTGTAAAAGTGAACAATTTTAATCTATATATAACATTATATATTTAACTATTATATTAAGTAAATAGTATAATTACATATCATAATATACATTTTAATATGTATTAAAATAACATCTATAAAATATTGCAAAGTCAGGATGCATGTGTTTTGCCAAGTTAGTTGAATCCACACAATTCACATACTTGTACTGAAATGTTAATAAAGCAATTTGAAGATGCTTATCTTTAATATTGCATGGTCTATTCTGACTTACTTTAGCCTTAATGCTTTCTAAACTTGCCAAGGTAATTACTTTAAGCTCTCATTTGGTAGTGCTTACATTAAGACTCCGTAGCTCATGTTTTACGTGGATGGCTGTCTGTAACAGATGCGTTTTAAAATGCCAAGGTAGTTTTCAGCTGCAGTCACTGAGTCAGAGTTTACATCCAACATCTGGCACTATATGTCAGCACCTGAGGTAAGTAACACTCTTACTGATGTAGTTGTCTGGCCCAATAAATGTGTTCATCTAAAGTGTCATTGAGAGATGCCATGATTTATTACAGCTCATGCACCTTCAAAACGCACTATCCCCACTTTTCAACAGAATATTTACACCAAGAACAATGCTGATAATTCCTACGTTATGTTTTCTGTAATTCAAATGTGGAAAAGACAGATAAGGAAATACAGAAATGAGTAATGAAGCGTAGAATTCTGAAAGAAGTACAGTTAATCACAGAGAGAATGAACATGACAATCAAGCCAGATGGCTTCGGCTGCTGCTCCTCAACTTCTTTCTAGTTTCAGTGAGGACATAGTCACCAAGTCTGACTTAAATGACAGGTTATTAAACCAGTTTACCAGCAATCCTCTTGCAAAACCTGTATCTTCAAGGTGATATTTTCTATAGAAAACAACTTTCAAAAATAATTGAAATAGGAAAATTACTTCTTCTGGTAACATGATCGACAGAATACAATACACTCAAATGAAGCAGTTTGGCAAAATATGTAGAATAAAACTGACCTTCCTAAGTCATAGAGAAATAATAGTCGAGACATAAACACTATATAGACAGGCATTTTGTTCTTAAAAGTATACAGTGTTTAAACAAGTGATTGCAGTGTTTTTTGTTCTCATAAAGATTGGTCAAAAACACAGAATAATACTTTACTAAACCAGCATGTTGAATATGAGAATTTTCTCAATGATAAGCCTGGGATGCACTTGATGGGTTATTTTCTTATCATTTTTGTGACTTCAGAAGTGTGGCATTTTTTTATTCATCTGATTGTCTCATGATTTACAAGTTAGACTCCTTTATGAAGGAATGTTCAAAGCTAATCTGTAATCTTGGTTAAATATCTCCTGACAACAATCAGTGTTAAAAATGACAATCTATCTGTAGTATTGTTATAACAGTGCTTCTAGGTTTTCCAGTGGAGGAATATTTTAAGTGCATAAAAATCCAGTTACTTGAAAATACAGTTGTCCTTTATAAACTTAGCCTTGTTAAAAGAATGAAGAACAGAGCTCTCTGTCACCCACTTGCACCAAATTCACAGAAATTGCACTAATCAGTGTCTAATTATTATTATAACAACCATTGTACTTATTGAACGAAAGCTATTCTTTTCACTTCTATATTACAAATTATTTTTTTCCTGTCAAACAAGCAAATGTTTAGCATGATTCCAGAAACAGGCAGTTCCCATACACATAGAAAACTACTGTGATAGTTATCAGTCAACAACTGAATATTTCTATTTAACCAGCAAAATGATTCTCAAGGAAAAATATCATAGGCTTTAAAATTAAAGTACTTCTTAACTATTAAACATATTTGATTGTGACTGTTGGCCTTAATTTGAACGTAGTTACCACTTAAGGTGACTATTATTTATGTGAGTTTTTTTGTGTGTACATAAAGTATGAGTTAGTAATATATTTTAAGATTCATGAATGGTGTAGTGTTTTTTTTTTCAATGCTTGCTTTGATTTAGAAATAGAATTTCAATATTCCCTGGCCTCAATTATTCATATTTAAATCATTTTTATGGTCTTGATGAACATTGAAAGAAGACATTAATTTAATCAATGATCATCCATTAAAAGCCACTAAAGTGTATAGTTGGCTGTATTTTCTTGAAAGAGTTCACTATAATTTCATGCATCGGAAGCTGTTGCAGGATTATCTAAGTACCAATGAGTTTTTTGAAACATACCATGTGACATTAATACTAGAAGTCAGTAAGAAACCCAAAGAGTTATGAAATGTTTTTCTTCCTACATGATCATATATAAATTCAGAGTTATTCAAAGTCAAGCATTTCTCAGGGAGCAAAGACTATTTAAAATAACTTTAATTTGCAAATCAACGTGTTATAAACTGTGTAGGCTTCAACACAAAATGCTATATTTCTAATCTTGGGATTAATGCTCTCCTACATTTTCAAATTATGCACAGAGGATCATTATGGATTACTTTTTACAATTAATATAGCTTAGTTATTTAGCTAAAAGCAAGGGCTGAAAATATAAACCATTATGATTGTTATTTAAAACATTTGCCTACTGTGAGTTATAAGAACTAATACTTTGCTAAAATATTTAACACAATGCCAAACCATTCCAGAAATTATGTTTAAAAGGTTTGTTCCTTTAAGATTTTCTATAATGAAACTGCTCAGTACTGGAAGTTAGCCACATAAAATGAACAGTAGCTTTAGCAACATCTGTTGTCTACCTACTTGTTAATGCCGGTCTGGGGGAAGTGAAACATATGATGATCTTCACTCCCTGGAAGAACATATTTTCCCAGACTTCTGGTGAATATCTGAAATCACGGGTAGTAACAAGATCTATATATTACAAGTTTTAGTTCATGTCCCTACATTATTGAAATATAACGATTGAGTTCATTTGTTTTCCTTTCTTATAACCAAGTGTTTTCTTTGTATCATTATTCTACACCCACCATAGCACCATTTATTCTTAAATACAATGTGTGGGTCTTGAACTAATTGCTGAAATACAGCAGTATAACTGATAACAGGAAGCTAATTAGTGGCTAGTGGAAGGGTAGTGTAGGAATTTTAGATGAACTGAGCAAAGGGACTATTTATGACCTAGTTGTAAACAAGGGACTACTTTAAGATTTCATTGTAAGACTCAGAATGACATGCTCAATAAAATCTATGATTTTCTGAAATTTTTCATTTAATATTTCAAACAGTAATTTCCCATAGGCAAATGGCACTCTAGTAAACAGCTCCATAGAGATAAAGGGAATTCTCACTGAGGATGTGTGCTATGTATGTAGATGAGGACACATTGTCCTGAAACCTCAGGTTGAAGAAGGGGAATATAAAGATGGTCAAATTATGTTATTTTAGATAAAAGATTATTAGTTGTAAACTGTTCATTCGACTCTATAGAAACAGAAGTTTCACCAAGCAGCTAAGATAATCTTTCTGCTGACATATTTTCTGCTCACTGTTATCAGTCCAATCTTATTCTATAGTTTCCCAGATGAAATTCTGCATTCTGTAATCTTATAAAGTAAACCATGCGTGGTTAATTACTCCAGGTGTCTCAGAATTATTTGTCTGTGTGATGTGTGTGTGTGTGTGCGTGTGTGTGTGTGTGTGTGTGTGTATTTTTCTTTCAAAGTGACAATTATTGGAAATTAAACAGAACCCTGGTAGGGGATAATTAATATAACTCTTTACTGAATTTCACAAGACCTGTACAGCAAAGGATAGGAAAATGAGACACCAGACTCAATACAAGAGAGAAGAAAGATGTAGGATCACATATCAATGACACAAGGCAATGAAGAGACTTGTACAGTATAGAATCAGGCATGAAAAATGAAGAAAGACCTAAGTGGTGATTCTGTAGAATTCCACTTTATTTTGGATATCATTTCTGTATTTGAGCAAATGTCCCACCTGTATATACTTACTCCTCCAGATAAAATGAGAATTACTCAGGGTATTCTCCTGTACATATAGATTGAGGGCATGAATGATCTAGCTCTTATTAGTAGGCCCATAATCAAAATTATAGTTTTGTACAACGAAGACTGAAAAGATATTGATTTTTGCTTTTAAAATTTCTTTTATTTTTTGAGGTTGTAATGTAATTACATAATTTACCCTTCCTCTCTTTAAACACCTCCCATAAGATGTTCCTTGTGCTTTCTCAAATCATGGTTTCTTTTTTATTAATTTTGTTATATACATGTATGTACATGTATACATACATAATACAGCTTGCTCAGTCTGTAAAATATTATTTGTATGTGTGTTTTAAGGGCTGCCCATTTGATACTGGCTAGTTGATTGATGTTTTCTTCACTGGAAAAAATTATTTCTTCTACTTGCAATGTTGCTTAGTGGTTTGAAATCCTTTTTATGTAAGGCTGAAGCATCTTAGGCCTTCTATTGTCCACTAAGGGAGTAAGTCACAAAACAATCCCACACCAGTTTAGAATTAAGATTAATAAAACGGTTATTTCTTTAAAGGGACAAGCTTAAAGATCACCGTCCTAGACAACAACTCCCTGCATGACCAGGAAAAGCGTTTGTTAGCCAGAAGCAGAGTCTGAAGCAAGAGAGGGAGAGCACAGCTACTGCTGTTTTTACAAGCCAGAGAGACCATGCCCAAGTGGGCTGGTATCTTAAAGGCTATTGGCTGAAGAAGCGAAAGGAGCTCCAGCAGCAGTCCACATTAACACATCTATTGCTATTGTCTTTTATTAGCTCATGTTTAGGCAATTTTTTTTTTTTTAGCCAAAAACCAGATTTGGTTTAATACTGCAACAATAGAAAACAAACCCAAGCACTACACACTAACAAACATACTACAACCCAGGAAAGGGGACATGCAGAGGCTACAATCATAAGCTAAATCTTTACAGGGGACCACAGAACTGCCTATGACCCCGTTGTGGCGGTGGCAGTACAAGTAAGAACTGTATCTGGCCAGTTCCCACCCCAGCAAAACCTTATTTTCACACAACAGTAAAAGGCAGAGTCACTTAAGAGTATGCAGTCCTCACAAGGAAGAGGTGGACCTGCTGTGTTTTGGTAGCTCTTTTTCCAAGCTGCTAGTACTGCAGCAACAAATAACAAACAAGGCCTCATGGCTTCTGGCTGATCCTGGCACCCTCAAGGGCACAGGTGTGAATTCCCATCAGTCTCGGTCTTGGCTGCAGTTCCATATCTCACTCCAAGGAGTAGGTAATGACAGCAGCTACCCACACCTGAGATTCCCTTTATCCTTGGAGGCTCTTATTGAGGATCTTGTTCTTGTGAACACACGTGGGGCACAGCATGCTACCCTCCAGGTGTGGGGGCGGAAAGGGGCAGGCTGGCAGCAGGAAGAGGACAATCACTTTCCCCTTCTTCTCAGGTACCCAGGCTTGTCCAGCGTGGAACTGAAGCCGAACCCAACCTCTTGAGTCTGCTGGAAGGCTTCTCCCATGGACCACACACCACAGATCCCCGTTTGTCTCGGGTGTTTTAATGGACTGCAGGGCCTCATTCTTGTTAGCATTGGCNTTGTGTCCGGTGTTTTAATGGACTGCAGGGCCACATTCTTGTTAGCATTGGCTGCAATCCTCGACCAAGAGGCCAACACTGCCTCAGAGGTGGTTGTGGTCACAACCGTCGTGCTGACCTCTTCATAGAGGACAGGCGGTTCAGTAAGGGCGGGCATCCGCTCCTCGGGTACAGGAACCACTTCAAGAGGCACTATCACCTGAGGACAAGACTCTTGTCCCTCCTCCGTCTCCGTCTTCAATTTTTTCCTACGCATCTTCACCCTGGCCTCTCTCGGTGTGTCAGGAATGTTGTCTAATTCAGTCTTCTGGTTTCCAGCATCCTCCATCTTCAAATTAGACGAAACCGCGAAAGAAAATTCTTCCACCTTCCAAATGACCTCTGGCCTCAGGCAGCTTTTAGAAATCTCCTCCTACTTCCTGTTGTCTAGACGCCCCCTTCCGTTCCCCAACCTCCCGCCCACGCCCCCAACTATTTGTGGTGCTAAAGTCTGACCGTGGCTGATAAATAAAGTCAGCACTGTGTTTTTTTTTTTCTTTAAATTATCATTATTATTATTAAGACAGGGTTTTCCTGTTTCCCAGGCTGGCCTGAAACTCACTTATGGCGCCTAGAATTCCGAGCTGTACTGCTCAGCTAGGCAAATGTTTTAAATAACAATCATAATGGTTTGTATTTTCAGCCCTTGCTTTTAGCTAAATAACTAAGCTATATTTAGGCAGTCATTATGATGAGACTGTATGGTCATAGCTTCTGACATTACATGGAGACACGATCTCATGACAACTTTGTGCTCTTCTGGTTCTTACCATCTTTTTCTCCGTTTGTAATGATTCTGGAGTCTAAGGTGTGTGAACTGTTTTGAAAATGTGTCCACTGGGAATGGGCTCACAATTTTTCATTTTGATTGGCTTTAATTTTCTGTAATGGTTTTCATGTGTTACAAAGAGAAGTTTCTTGATGGGGGGTAAGAACTACACTTATCTGTGAATATAAGGATATTTAGATTCCTGTTAGGGATTATGTTGTTTTACTATAGTAGGAGGTGTACTCTCTTCTCCAAGAACCATGAGTTTACTAGCTCGGGGTAGCTGGAAAATTATCTAGTAAACGGCATGATTTCCATCCTGTAAAACCAGCGATAGAGCTTCTTGCTAGCACAAAATCACATGTGTCATTACTGCACCATTTTCGTTATTGTGCAATGTTGGTCCTTGTTTTAGTTCATAGGCATCATAGCTGGGTTGCTTCCCTCCCTTGGAAACATGCAAGGGGTCTCCTGGTACCATAAAGACAAGTTCTCATGAGGAATGCTTTAGGTCAGCACAGCTCAGGGTACTTTGAGCCTTGTGTTTGAAGTACAAATTGTCTTCAGCAAAAGGGACTTATATTCCTCCTCGTGGAAAAATAAAAAAAAAAACAAAGACAATAGAAATAGTCTGAAATGTTCCAAGAATCTCTTAGATAACCCTGATCTACAACCCAAAATGGGGATTGACATGCTGGATATTTTTGCTTGTTACATTCTTTACACAGAGTAAGATGGAGATTTATGAATGATAGTTACAGAAACCATGAATACCATTTTCAAATTTTGGTGAAGTAGTAGCACAGAGGGAAAATATGATCAGTCTATAAAGCTAGTCATTATTGTCTCCTGGAAATTCTACAACCTACCCAATAACTTTTAACAAATTGCTTTTGGATTAGGCTAAGTAAACATAATTATGGTTCTTCATTAAAGAATATTCTTCACCACAGAAGACACAGATGGTGGATAAAAATAGGAAAAGATACCCTCTGTTTAATGTCATCATGGAAAGCAAAGAATGAGTTATCACCCCACACTCATTAAAATGGCTAAAAATCCAACTGACAACACCAAATGCTGATGAACATGTGGAACCAGTACTCATTATTTGCTTGTAGGATGCAAAATGGCACCACTATTTGGAAGACAATTTGGCAAAGATTTTTAACAAAATGAACCTGATTAGCAGTTGCAATCCCTGATATTTTTCTCAAAAAATTAAAAGTATATACTCACCAACAGATCACATAGGCATAGTCAGAAGTAATTTTATTCATGATTGCAGCTCTACTAACTTTGAGTAAGTTTGTGGATAATTAAATGTGTTTTTTTTTTCTATTTTCTTTTTTTATATTTTTTATTGAGAATAAGAAAAAAAAGTTTCCGCCTCCTCCCAGCCTCCCATTTCCCTCCCCCTCCCCCCACTCCTCTCCCCCTCCCCCCACTCCTCTACCCCTCCCTCTCTAATCCAAAGAGCAGTCATGGTTCCCTGCCCTGTGGAAAGTCCAAGGTCCTCCCCCCTCCGTCCATGTCTAGGAAGGTGAACATCCAAACTGGCTAGGCTCCCACCAAGCCGGAACATGAAGTAGGATCAAAACCCCTTGCCATTGACCTTGGCTTCTCATCAGTCCTCATTGTTCGCCATGATCAGAGAGTCCGGTTTTATCCCATGCTTTTTCAGTCACAGTCCAGCTGGCCTTGGTGAGCTCCCAATAGATCAGCCCCACTGTCTCAGTGGGTGGGTGCACCCCCCGTGGTCCTGACATCCTTGCTCGTGTTCTCCCTCCATCTGCTCCTCATTGGGACCTTGGGAGCTCAGTCCAGTGCTCCAGTGTGGGTCTCTGTCTCTATCTCCATCCATCACCAGATGAAGGTTCTATGGTGATATGAAAGATATTCGTCAGTATTGCTATGGGATAGGGTCATTTCAGGTTCCCTATCCTCCGCTTCCCAAGGGATTAACTGGGGACATCGCCTTGGGCTCCTGGGAGCAACTCTAGGTTCAAGTCTCCTGCCAACCCTAAGGTGGCTCCCTTAACTAAGATATGTGCTTCCCTGCTCCCCTATCCAACCTTCCTTTATCCCAGTCTTCCTGTTTCCCCAAGTTCCCCCAATCCTCCCCTTCTCACTTTTCTCTCCCCGTCCCTCCTTATCCCCAACCCACCCCACCCCCAAGATCCCAATTTTCTCCCCGGCAATTTTATCTACTTCCCTTAGCCAAGAGGATAACTATATGTTTTTTCTTGGGTTCATCTTCTTATTTAGCTTCTTTAGGTTCACCAGGTATACACTCCGTGACCTTTATTAATGGCTAGAAACCAATTATGTTAAGTGTGTTTTAATAAAGAAATAAACACATTTGGTTGTAAAATGCCTTCCTGTCCAATATCTTTCCATGTAGATGAAATTTAAGTCTGCATCATTGTTATAAGAAAGTGATCTTAAAGGGAGACATATTATATGATTTCAGATATTTTTGGACATAGTTTCACTGTGCAGTGTGTTAGCCTTTTGTTCAGGACTTTCCTGCCTCAGTTTTGAGAGTGGAGATTACAAATATACACCAAGTCTAAGAGAAGTATGTTCATCTGTTCTTCCAAATGAATGAAAATATGTCTATGTAAGAATGAGATGACAATTTTCTAGACTTACTTCTGAGCATTTAGACTGGCTTTAAAGTTACAAATGTTTAATCTATTTTAAAGAAAGTAATTGAAGACTTAAATGACAGACAAAGCAAAGTATAAGTATAAATAATCTTAACCCTCTCCAGTCACGATGAATGTGACCAGTAAACCAAATGCAATAAATATGTCATTCCTCAGTCAGTGTCAAAACCGAGACTACAGGAGAGGAGATAACACAGTAGCAGTACAGCTCTGCTTGGCAGGCTTCTTTTCCTGGGCTCCAGTATCAACTTGGGGGAAAAAAACCTCAAAATTTTAGTAGTTTATAACAACGCAGCTGAGTTTACATCCCTCATATTTCCATAAGCTTTTGGTGCCACATGATAACACTTTGAAGGGCAATAGTAAACAAAATGTAAATCATGACAATGAATAAATAAAGGAACAAAATAATAGATGAAAATTTCCAGTGACTAAAGAAGATACCTATCAACGTACACGACGTATACAGAACAACAACAATACTGAAGCAGAAAAGAAGGTCCCCACAGCATATAATAAACACTAAACATACAGAACAAAGAAAGACTTTTAAAAGGGAAAAAGACAAAGTAATATATAAAGACAGATCTATTAGAATAACACCTGACTTTTCAATGGAGACTGTAAAAGCAGGAAGGGCCAGAACTAATGGTCTACAATTTCTAACAGACCATAGAGACGAGCCCAGACTGCTGAACCTGAACCCAGCAAAGTTTTCAACCATGATAGGTGGGTAAAGAAAACATTCTCTAATTGGGGGGGGGGGGAACCTCAAGGAGTAGCTACCTACAAATCTAGGCCTACTCCTAGCACTTCTGGGTTCCAGGACCTCACATGTTCCATCAAGCATTCAGGCAATTCATATAACCACCCGGGACCCTCAAGCCCTACAAGACTTACATGCACCATCATCACATGATCGACACATGATGCCACTCCAGCTATATAACCCCCTGTACGCATGCACTAGGCAGCCTTTAAAAGCTGGGACATTCCTGCTCCATGCCCTTTCTTCCCAACCTTCTTCTGAAGAGGTAACTACTGCCTCCCTCCCCACCCCCTCTCTCCCTACACCAATTTCCTTAGGCCTGCACATGTGTCCTTCTCTCTCTTAATCAACTCTTAAAGTAAGCTTTGCTGTGGATTTTGTTATCTGTTTTTGTTTGTTCTCCATAATTTTATTGGTTTCGAGACACCATAGGCTCTCCTGCCCCTCCTCTCCCAGGCCAGGATCCCAGATTGGGTTTCTCCACAACAACCTGCATTCCGTCTGTCCTGCCGCCAACTCCTAAGCACAACAGTGGCTTCTATCAGTGAGTTTTCCCCTTCTGGTCAGCTTAACTGTTTCTTTGAACCCAAGGTCTTGACAGGTTAGCTCCCAGGAACGCTCTGGTACTCCTAAAAATGGGGGAACACCCAACCTCGACCTTAAAGGCTATGGTTGAGTCCTTCACTGATATTCATCTCTGGTTTACACCCCATGGCTGAAGACAACGTTTTGGCACTGCTGCCGCTGTTTGGACTTTTTGTCCTTTCTCAGACCATTTGAAAGTGGTCCTATTGCCGCTGTTCAGACTTTTTGTTCTCTAGGGGCACTTGGTAAGGTCCTTTCTGGCCCCCAATTCCTGTAACAATAGGTCCCAAATTGGCTTGGCCTAGCTCTCTACCCTCACACTATTCTGGAGATGTCCTGATTAGTTGCCTTTTCACAGTTTCAGCTGTGAGAAACTAACCTTCAAAAACTATTAGTCCAACCCCCCCCCCCACTGGGAAGTCTTTTAGAGACCCTAAAGCCTCAAACCTTAATGCCATACTTACAGAGTCCCATACTTTTCCGCCTTTGTTCTA